ACACACCTTTCTCAGTCTTCCTCTTCAAAAAACCCCCCTCTCAAGAGGAACGCTGCAGTTAGAACCCATGGTCCTCCCAGTCTCCTCTCCCAGAGAGAACTTATCACAAGCTGCAGTTTGTCTCGGTCACCCTGTGACTCCACGCTTCCTGGGACATTCAACTCTAGATTTCACTTCTCCCAACTTTCTGCTCCTATCCAGCACCTTAACCCACCTCCTCCCTCCACTGCTTGCCCCACTCTCTGGGCTCCCATGTCCTCTGGGATGCGTGTCTGTTACTGACAGGCCTTCCCATGTCCTCAACTTCCTGAACACTCTCTTCCCTGCCCTGTGCTAAAGAACTGAAGAACCAGCTCCCTCCACAGCTCAAGTGGTGGCTGTCCTGTGTTCCCGGTTGCTTGTTGCTTTTCAACCACTGTTCCCCATCTTCGTTCTAACCCTCCAGTGCCTTAGAAACACAAACCATTTGATTGAACTACCCACTTGGCTCTTTTCGCTGCCATCGCCCATTCTCATGGTATTCTGCCATAAGGATTTTAGCTCCTGGCTTACTGTTGATTTCTTTCCACCAGGACTCCTGCTGCCATTTAAATGATTTTGCCTTCCATAAAGACTATCCATACATCCTTCTGGCATCTTGATTTCTTTTTGTTTGTTTTGTTTTGTTTTTAATTTTTTTAAAAAAGATTTTATTTGTATTTCTTTGACAGAGAGCAAGATGGAGAGGGAGAAGCAGGCTCTTTGCTTAGCAGAAAGCCCGGATATGGGGCCCAATTCCAGGACTGAGCTGAAGGCAGACACTTAACTGACTGAGCCACCCAGGCACCCCTGGGCTCTTGATTTATCTACTCACTTTTCATGAACTTCTCACCCAAACGTGGCCATGTACTTTCCTTGTTATACTTTAGAACTTGTCATCACTGTTCCTTACTTTCAAACCAGTTTACTTGCTCTACTAATCCCACTCTGGCATTCTTTGAATCCACTTATAATCCACTGAGATCTGCCACCACTTTTTAAATGCTCATCACCTGTCTTATGTCCCTACATCCTTCCTCATACATCACTATCATCATTTTCCTTTCATACAACCTTAATTCCTTTTCTCTTCTGTCCCATTTGCTTGGCAATACCTCTAACCTTGGATGAATCCAACTTCTCATCTACTCTTTCTGTCCTGAGCAGCAAATATGATTGAAGAAAAAAAAATTTTTTAACTCATCTCAGTTAAATTTATGGCCACAGACCTCTGGTGGATTCTCAGCACAGGCTAGCAAGCTATGCTATGTCCCTGTCAATTAGCTCTCAAGACTGAAAATTCTAACCTCTCCTCAATTTTCAACTCCTCCCCTACTTCTCAGCTGGTAATCTTACTATATCTCTGGGAAAATTAAAATGTGACCTTTCTCACTTTCTAATCACATCTCCTAATATCTGTATCCATATACTGTCTTCCCCAGAATTAACATCAATTAACTCTTCTAGCTCCTATGGTCACACCTCCTCTTATATACTGGCACTCAGCCCTGGAGAAAGTTACTCCTGCAACTGTCCTTCCTCTCATCTACAACATTCATAGGAGATTCAGGTCCACACATACACATATTATGACATTTCCCATCTTAAACACAGTAACGAAAACCTTGATCCCATACTCCCTCACCAGGAACCAGGTGAATGTTTCAAAGGGGTAGGTCTCTGTCTGCACTTTCTCACCATCCCTTCTCTCTTGTCTCAGCTCCACTGCACTGTCCTTACCAAGTTACCAAGCACTTTCCAATTACCAAAGCCAATGGTCAATTCTCAGTCCTCCCATTCTCAGCAGCATCTGACAAACTCATCATTCCCTCCTTAAAAAAGACTTTCTTCCCTTGATTTCCAGGACACCACACTCATCTGGTCTTCCTCCCATGGTCCCTCTTGTTCCCCAGAGCTATTTTAACTCCCTAAATGACCCCATCCTTTATTGTGACATTAGATACCATTCACGCCTTCACAATTCCTAAATGAGAACCTCTAGTGTGCACCTCTTCTCAGCCTCAGAGTTGCAGGTCCATCTTCCTATTAAATTGTCTCCTCTTGGAAGTCTAATAGGATAGGAATCTTACATATCCAAAATTGAATGAATAGAATGCTTTCCTTTACATTTTTTCCTTTCCAAGTCTGTCCCATCTCAGCAAATGGCATGACCCATCCACTCAGGCAACGAAACCTGAGAGTACTCTTTCTGCCTCCTATCCAACCCAACATATCCTGCTGGCTCTACTTTTGAAATGCAACAGTAATCCAGCTACTTTAACACCTCCACAGGTATCACCCTCAACTCTGGGGAGGCTGTAAGAAGACTATTGCTTCATTCCCACTGGTTGTAGTCATTCTCCACACTTCAGTGATCCTTTCAAAATTCAGACTAGATCTTGTAATGTCCTTACCTGAAAACTTTCAGTAGCTTCCATTACTCTCAAGCATAGACAGGGTCTTCACTATGGCCCACAAAACTATACAAAGCCCGGCTTCTGCCAACCTCCTTAATCTCATGTTCTCTTTCCCTTTCTCACTCTGCTCAACCATACAAGCCTTTTCCCTGTCCTCAATCTTGCTAAGAACCCTCCCTCTTCAGGACCTTCTGTTCTTCCTGGAATGCCCTTCCTCCAGTCACATGGCCAACTCCCTATCTTCACTTAAGTCCCTGCTCACATGACACCCACCTCCTAGAAATTTCCAAAGGGCCTTCAGTCTAAGAGTTCTCTCCTCTGTTTTCCTCCATAGTATTTAGTGCTGATGTCATCTAGTCAATCCTCATTATTCAGATTCTGTATCTGTGATTTTACCTACTTGCTAAGATTTATTTGGAACCTTAAAAATCAACACTTATCGGGGAACCTGGGTGGCACAGTTGGACTTCAGACTCTTGGTCTTGGCTCAGGTCCCGGTCCCCACATTGTGATCAACCCCATGTCGGGCTCCACCCTCAGCATGAAGTCTCCTTGAGACTCTGCTTCTCACTCCTCCAAGTATCTTTAAAAAAAATTAACACACTGCTTTTTGTGGTCATTATGGACACCCCCAGTCACCCAACTTGTAGAGTACACCTTAATTCAGCTCTCATACTGTAAATGTTTTTTTATAGCATATCTAGTGCCTTATTTTTTTTGCTTTTTTGTGTTTTTTGTTGATTTCTTGGTTTAAAATGCCCCCCAAGTATAGTGTTAAGTGTCGTCTGGTGTTTCTTAGCACAAGAAAGTTGTCAGGTGCCTTACAGAAAAAAAAAAACTCGTGTGTTAGATAAGCTTCATTTGGACATGACTAATAGTGCTGTTGGCCTTAATATCCAATGGAATTGAACCAACAATATGTATTACATAAGGTATCTTTAAACAGAAACCCACAAACAAGGTTATGTGTTGATCAGCTGACCATAATGTTGTGACCAGAGGCTCACAGGAACCTAACCTTCTATTTCCCCTAGGAGCAATGGTTCAGTACTGATTTCATGTTCATGGAATGCTCTTGGAAACTACAAAACAGAACCGCCACAAATAAGAATCAACAGTATCTAGGACCACTTAACATTATATATTTCCTGTTTTTTTTTTTTTTAAGATTTTATTTATTTATTTGACAGAGATCACAAGTAGGCAGAGAGGCAGGCAGAGAGGAGGAGGAGGAAGCAGTCTCCCTGCTGAGCAGAGAGCCCGATGTGCGGCTTGATCCCAGGACCCTGGGATTTAACCCACTGAGCCACCCAGGCACCCCTGTATTTCCCGGTTTAGAAGACAAGTTCCTCCAATGGGAAAGATATTTTTTTACTGCTTGATCTCTGAGGTTTACAACACTGCTTGGTTTTTACCAGAAACCTACAAATACTTAAATGATTAATACCAAGGATGAACAAGCAAGTCTTCAGAGAAACTCAACTGGCCAATAAAGTTATATAGATATATAAACATATAAGTTTATTAAAGTTATATTTAAAATCACTAGTAATCATGAAAATGTAAATAAAAACAGCCAAGGTTTTTCTCACCCCCGATGCTACTATTTGGTGGTGAGGGTTTATAAAAGCCAATCGTGCAATCACTAAAAGACTTTAAAATGCATATCTTGTGACACAGCAATTCCACTCCCCAAAAATAAGACCTGGGTCTGTGCAAAAACTTAATCATTGCTGTGGCACAATTAATAAAATGGTACAAACCGCCTCAAAATCTAAAGACTGGTGAAACAATGATAATTCATACAACGTAATATAACATAGCTATCCAAAAGCTGTCAAAACTGTAAGATGAAAAAATGCTCATTAAACATTAAAAAAGATCGTACAAATAGGTACAACAGAATTTTTTTTTTAAAGTCTACATGTATTAAAAAAATGAAAAGGTCTGTAGTAGTTATTACCACTAAAATGTTAAGATGGATGATCCAAAATCTTCCTATTTTCCTGTATTTGCCCAGTTTCTCCTGACAAGAAACATGCAGTGCTTGGGATCAGAAAACTGGGGGTTAACAGGGGTGTGTGTGTTGGGAGTAAATTGGACAAATCAATCATGAAGTGCTGAGTCCCTGGCAAAGTATGCTATCCCAAGACTACCACCCTTCAAACCTTAGCAACCATTCCTACTAACTCAAATCGCTATAGCAGCGGTGCTATTTAAGCATCCAAACTTTTAATGAAAACTGACAGGTGGAACACATGCTTCAAAGCACTGTGGTAACCACACTCCTCAATCCCAGCTGTACAATTTACTAAGCTCTGTGCTCTTTATCTGTTAAATGTGATAAAAAGGGTCTCACTCATAGAAATGTTGGGGTTTGAATTAGTGTTTCATACAAAACAGAACCCAGCATATAGCAAGCCTAGTAAGCACCTGGTTATTATTTTCTCCCAAAACAGAACCTCTAGATGGTGTCCCACTTTGCTTACAGATATACATGTGCTGGGAGAAAGAGGGTATTTATGATAATGTGAACTCTTTGCATATCAACACAAACATGGATTATTTTCCTGTTAGAGATCACTTATTAATCATGTAACATTACTTGGAGTTCTAGTAACAAGGTTTCCTACCATCTTTTCTAAACAGAGAAGTTGTATTCTCTACAGGGGGCGGTTTACATTCCACAGCATTCAACTGGTGTAGCAAACAGGCTTAGGGTCCAAAATGATCACACAACCATTACCAAACAGTCACCCATTCTATATCCCACATACAATGACTTAAGTTTGTACAAACGATTGTTTTTCTTGAACCAGTGTAACCTAAATTAAAAATGTAGAAATTTAATGTACCCAGCTATAAAAAATGCCAGAAACTAGACACTAGTTTTCATGTTTAACATTCTGAAATCCTCCTTCTCCTACAATACAAAATAAAGCGAACAAGGAAAACCAATTCTTGATCATTTTAATTTGCATAACAGATTACATGCTTTATGAGTAGAAGCAAAGGTAAAACCTTCAGCAGCTTACATTTTATTCATGACAAGGCCAGTGTGTAAACACTATACTAACTTATTAAGTTTTTCCAAGAGCAGTAATAAATACTAAAAAGAGAGAACATGCACTCAACAACTCTCAAAGAGATATTCATCAAAATGAGGTAAGTCTAATGTGTCATTTGCTAAGGAATTTAATGTTGAAGTGGAAAAAAACTCATCAAAAATATCAGTCTTCATGGAACTTTCCAAATTCAAAGTCCTAATGCAGACATTATTTGTCAGCGAATCTGGCTGAACTTCACACTGATTTTTCTTGGTGGGGCTACAGTAATTATGGTCCTGTCTCAGATGTGTGTTTTGGGGAATATCATTTAATTCAGTAGACACTGGTGCTGGGATGTGGTCATCTCCCATTTCTAAATACCTAAAGTCAGCCTCCCCATTTACCGAGTGCTCTGTTGAGACAACAGTTGTAGGAGACAATAATTCTGCTAAAATTTCTTCATGACTTTGACTACTGTATGGAGTTGTGCACCCAGATTTATTATCAGCAGTATCAATTTGATACTGTAGTTCTTTTAGCAAGTCTTCTATTGATTCACAATCATTTGGAGACCCACAGTGGGACACATGTTCTAAATTTTCACTTGGAGGTGTTCCTTTTTGAGGGGAAGACATAAGAGCAGCTAATTTCTTCTTTTTGGCTTTCAGTTTTTTAAGAAGTTTTAGACGAAGTTTATGAATCTGAGACTCAACTGAGTCTCCATGGTTTGCAGAAGAAACACCATTTTCTTTCACACAAGAATCATGCCTACGGTGAGCTCCGTAGGAGGTATTGTCACATTTCTTCAAAGCATCTGTATCAGCGATAACATCAGCACACACACGAGAAGTCGTGCTACCAGACAATGGATGGCCTGGGAGAGGGTTACTAACTGTAGGTGGCTTATTTGCACACCTATTGGCTTTCTTGGATGCCCGGTTAGCCTTTTGGTTTATGCCTTTCGTTTTAAAGCCACCGAAATTACTTGCCCCCTTAACTGAAGGCTGCAAATCAGTTACAGTGTTTCTATTATGAGCTGAAACACAAGGTGGCATAAAAGAAGCACCCCTACTTAATAGGCCTTTAACCCAACTTCCTACAAATGGTTTCTTCTGAGTTTCTTTCAGTGATGGATTCTGTCCTGATTTCGCTGTTATGGTTTGAGAAGATGCCACAGTTTCATTTTTTTTCCAATCAGATACCTGAGCTGTAACAGCTTGTTCTGGTTTTAACTTCTCAGTTTTGGGTGACAGAAAGTGTTTTAATGGAGTATCCTTCTTTAGGGCAACTGTACCCTCAACTTCTACCAGCTTTACTCCACTTATAGAGTCAGTAGCATGAACAGTATTCACAGATTTAATTATTACAGTGTCTTCTGTATTCGGCTGTGCCAACGGCATGTTTGCATCTACAACTGGAGATGGCAAGCTTAAGTCCACGAATCGGTCCTGAGTAAGCTTTTCAACACATGGAGCTGATACTAAAGAAGCCATTAATAACTCTTGTGATTGCAAAGTTTCTGTTTTGCCAACTCCTGCATTTTCAGCCACAAGTTCATTTTCTAAGAGGAAACATTCAGAGTTAACCTGTATTTCTTCAAGTGTCAAAGATAAAATACTATTGTCAACCAAACTTTCTGGACCTGAAAGTAAATGATGCCCATGAGCTAGAGCTACAGCTTCACCCTGTGAGAGTGTGCTAGGTCCAACTGCCACACCGGTGGGGAGTGTCCTTGAGAATGGCTCAGCAGAGGCAGCATCGCCCACAGAACACCGAGTTGGAGAGGCTGGCTTCTCATCATCAAAAGGAGGCTCATCATTAGTCTTTTTAAATGGAGGGCAGGCAGACGCCTTATCTGTCAATGGGGATGTTTTTCTTTCCCAAATAACAATATGTACCTCTGAAGCAACAACTTCAAATTTCTCACGCCTTTCAGAACGTAGGCCTTTTAGGTCATCGCACTCCAGCCAACTTCCTGGGGATAAGGAAAGTTCAGTAAATGAGGTTAGACTTTCAAAACCCACCAGCCGAGGTTCGCTTTCTTCTGGCCATTTTATCTGCTATATCCCTGAATATCCACCAAAGGAGAACACGCGAGAACAAGGCCTTATGCTTATATCACCATTTTTCTCTGCCAAGGTTAAAGTCCTTATGTGGCTAATAAAAGTTATAGACTAACATCCAGAAATTTGAAAAACTGAGATAGTTTTTACTTTTTCCTAAAATACCCACAAAAATGAGGACAGAAGTCTATTTAACTTTTGTTACTTAGAATACAGTATATCACCCAATTTATCCAACATTAGAAAATGGATTAAATTTTTCCATATATATGCATTTTCAAGATAAATGAAGCCTGTTACCCTCAAGTATCCACATTTGTTTCAATTCTTATTTTAATTCAATTATACTTTTTTTTTTTTTTTGGTTAAAAGAAAACTTAGAGGTTTTTAGGTGTTTATTTCTGGGCTTCTGTTTTCTCATTTGTCAATTGAATATGAAGTGATGGATTATAAAGGAAGAGGTTAACCTCCTACACACAAAAACCCCCTAAGAAAACCATTCACTAAATTTATATGGATACACCTTTACAAACCACACAAACCTACTATTTCCTCTTCTAAACCCATTAAAACTTTGAGTCTTTTGTTTGCTTACTTCAGTGGTTCACCACCACACATGCACATTAGAATTATTTGAGTCACAGCTGGGCCTAATCCCCAGACACTGATTCAATGACAGGGGAGAGCCAAGACATTTTTTATAAAGTAACCATGATTTTTATATGTTGTCAGGGAGGGGAACCACATAACCATCTAACCTACCTGAAGAGGATTTCAGATTCCCTGGAATGCAGTAAAAAATTAAGTTACTTTTTTAGTTTTTGCTTATGTTATTGAGAACCACTTCTCCCCAAATCCTGAAGTAGGGTAAAACTTTAAGGAAATAGTATTTATAATGGGAGATTCAGTTTGCAAGGGGCTTTTATAACACATTACTTTGTCATCCACCCCAACTATCCCCAAGATGAAAATATCAAGTATGAAAAGTGTCCAAAAAACAGGAAAAAGAAAAAGAAAAATATCAAAGAGACCTCTTATCAACAGCCTGATATAACTCTTTATGGAAGTGAGTGATCTTGTTTAAGACAAAGTGAACATTGTAAGAAAAACAAACTCAATATTAAATCATATTAGATAAGTGGAAGGAAAAACTTAGCAAAAATTATGAGCTGTACTATTTAGCCTTCTACTGAAACTTTTATAAATAAAGGCTTTATCTTGGATAAGTAAATTACGGATTTCAGATATTCTATTTCATAGTCCTAGAAACAGATGTTTTCTTTTTTTCAGTATTTTTTTCTTTTTAAGGAAGCTCCATGCCCAATGTGGGACTTGAACTCATGACCCTGAGATCAACAGTCACGTGCTCTAATGAGTGAGCCAGCCAGGCACCCAGTAGATGTTTACTTTTATTTATATTACTAACAACTGCAAACTGAGCAAATTTGTTTTTGTTCTTTCTCAATTAAAAACTTTCAGTATGATGCACTTTCTTTTTAAAAGAATCACATGGTCACTTACCTAAAAAAATCAAAATCGCCACCATTCATTTTTCTATACTGAACATGTATTACTCACGGAGTAAAAGCAAACATACTAAGTGGGGAAAAGCAAATTGTAAACCAACAGCATTGTATGATCACTTTTTCTGTCTAGAAAAGAAATATGCATATGTACACCCATACATATACAAAGGAAAGACAGGAGTGATCCTAAACCAGAGTGACAGAGGAGAGGAGGGGGAGAAAGAATTAAAGACAAGGGCAGTAAGTCAGAGGAAAGAGTCAACGTTTGCCTTAAAAAAAAATTATCTAGGGTTTGGCCCCCATGCCTATTATCACAAAAGAAAAAAGTTTAAATACTTACCATCCACATCTAAAATCCATGTTATAAAATGATTATTTGCTTGGTACTGAATTACAGAAGTTATTTGATAAAGACAGCCTTCAAAATGAAATGAATAGTGCTGCAAGTCATTATGTGGCAAGCCTTCCACAAAGTGCAACATGAATACGGGAGACACTCTGTGGGAGAGAAAGGCAAGTGAAGTCAAGCAAATGTAATGCCCTGTGCCTGGTTATAAAAAAGATGGTCTGAAGCAAGTAAGTCACATATAACACTTTCAAGGTTAACTGCACTAATTTTTCTTGAGAACCTCCAGATGTATGCCTTAATTAGAAATGGAGAATGCACTCTATGAAGTATGTAACAGTAAACTCTTCTCAAAATGGTATCAGTGACAGTTGGAGCCATCATGCAATAAGGCTCTAACACAAGACCATTAAACAAAAATTGCTCTGTAAGCCACAATGCTGTTTTGACTTAAAGATCTCTTGATAACAACTACTCTGTAAAATCACAGGGAAAAATCCAGACCTTTTAGAATTTTCTTGGGCATCTAGTGCCTAAATGAATTACTTCTGTTATATAAGTAATATTGGAAACAAAGTAACAAAACTAAGACATTGAAATAAACATTTAAAAAATCTCAATATGCTAATCATTTGTCCTATTTCACTGTTACCTCCAGAAGCAGAGGGGTCCATCAAAGTAAAACTTTTACCTAGAAAGTTTAATTTGTACCTAAAATAAAGAAAATACAACATAGTGGCTAATTTACTATAAACTTTAAGACATTCATAATTTCAAAAATACACTTTATCATTATAGTAACATACCAAACCAGAACACAGAATCTAATGATGGGCCTCAAATAACCAAATTTAACAAAGGTCTCAGGATTTCAGAAAAATGTCAAGTATCTCTTTTCCCAATATTTAAATAGCTGTCAAACTTATTTAGCTTATCAAAATTTATTCAGCTGAGATGAACCTGAGTCAATGTCCAAAATGCAGACCACTCCGATTGATAAGGAATAATTAGTAAGTTATCTCTTGCCAATCATGTTAGAGGAATAATCAACTTTTCAAAATTTAAGTACCTATAAATAAAGTCCTGCAAAATTGTCTATAATGCTAACCAAAACCCCCCCTTTTTTTTTAATCGTATCTATTTAACTGATCTAAGATACCACTGATTATAGCATATACCACTAGGGAAAAAACTGCCAACTAAACTCTACTATGCCATCAATTCTTAGATGTACTCCCATTTCAAGTGTTAACATGTGAAGAGTGTGTTTCTGAATAATCTACAATGAAACTAGAGATCTGTTCTCACAGCTGGATATGCAGGGCTTAGGCAACTGCATGACTCTGTAAGTACTAATATTTAATTCTCCTGGTCTCATGTGATAGATACCCTTTCAAGATATCTTCATTTTATTTGAGGAAGAGTGAGAGCTAGAGAGAGAGCACACACAGAAAGAGAGGGAGAAAGAGAAGCAGGCTTCCTGCTGAGCAGTGAGCCGGACACGGGGCTCGATCCAAAGAGTTTGGGATCATGACCTGAGCCAAAGGCAGATGCCCAACAGACTGAGCCACCCAGGTGCCCCTAAGATATCTTCTGAGTCTAGTTACTAAAACATTCTCTTTTTTATCACTAGACTATGCAAATTCATGAACTTCCTGCCTTCTTTGTGTGAGTTAAACACAGAAAGGGTTAAATATGCAGCATTTCTTTCTTAATGGCGTATTTAAAACCTGGTGCAACTTATAAATGATGGTATTTTGGATTCAACAAAATAAAGCATATGCCCCTCATCCTTTTCTAGTTAATTTTCTTCTCTGGGTCCCCTAGACTCTAGTGTTCCCTAAAAGTCACAGGTCTCTCCTACCAAAAATTCCAGCTTAGCTCATACCAAAGCCCTTTAGTTGAGGGTAGAGCTTTACTCCTAGTTTGGTAATAGATTTTGTTTCAGGTTTCTTCCTACCTACAATGCCTGGCATGTCAAAGATGATGCTCAGAGATGAGAGGATCAAATTAGGTAATGACTCAACCATAAAAAAACTGGGTAGGATGAGTTAATAGAACTGGAGTGAGAGTCATAAGAGATTTCAAGCCAAGCTCCATTTGCATTTACCTCCCCAACTTTTAGGTTAAACTCCTCCTATTATACGGATCTACCCTTAGGAAAAGAGAGAAAACAGAACTAGAGAAAGCAGCAGGGGAACTGTGCCAACTGCCCTGCTACCCACAGACAGCAGGGAAACACCAAATCCCTGTCCCACAAAAAAGAGCCAAAGTCCTGTGCAAATGGCCTGGAAGATGTGTGTTTTATTTTTATCTCAACTAATGTAAAGTAGTAAGTCATATTTTAGAAAATGCAAATTTAACAATGTGCATATATGTATTTCTGAACTGTAATAATGTAGGCTTTAGGCAAAAAAATCTGCAAATATAATTTTTAAACCTCATTACATTTTAGATCTAATTACATCACTGAACGATTTCCTATTTCAGATTCTATGACAAAAGATGAAATATATGAGTAAAATCAGATGTAATTAAAATAATTAGAACTGTTCATATTAATTATAAACAAAATACTTCAGAAAAAATTCAACTGCTCAACAAAGGTTTACAACTGTATTCTTTGGAGGTAAGTTCAAGGATCTCATAAAATAAGAAATCATTTTCTGCCACACAATGAAGATTTAATTAACAAATACAATTTTAACTATTTTATGTATCAATATTCCATCCAAACTTTTGTAGGAGATGGTTTAGTTCACCTGCTTGGAAGAAAGTCTCAAAATCATTAATACTTAATGATGACACTTTAAGAGGCCTGTAAGCACAGATCAGAAACATCTAATTTTTCCTCCTATCCTCTCCTAACCTTTACAGTTGTTTAAAAAAAAATTACTATTAAAAATGATTTTTTTTAAAGAATTTTATATAAATAAACTTTTCAAATGACAATCCAGGATAGTGTGTGACCGGACTCCTAGAGGTGATCATGGCAGTAATGAGGTTCATCTTAAGAGTCTGTGAAGTAAATCAGATTCTAAGTTGGTGCCTCATGTTACCATGCTGTGAGTATAATTCCTAAATAATTTAAAGTAGCAGACCTGAATTTGATAGATCTCATTCATTTATCAATGGACTTTTTCTAATGGAAACATATTAGAGATGAGGACTGCCTGAGACAAGGTGTTCAGGGAACTTACAAATACTATTAGTTTTTAGAATGCTGTAAAGTTGAATTATGCATGATATCATGATGGACCTAATTACTTTTAAGTTAACCTTAAAGACTATATTAAATTTGTTTCCAAATTCCATTAGACATCAACAAATCAAGACTATGAATTTCAAAGTAAAAAACTACAGAGAACTTCAAAAAGACCTTGTCATTTAAAATGTAAGGGAAATTTAACATACTAGTTTAACTTCTTTTCAATATAGTAAATATTCAAACTATCAATTCTGTTTACAAACTGACCCATTAGAACTCTAAACACATTTCACAGTGAAACACTTATATCTAATGGATACACTGCCAGATCAGAGCATGAGTCTTTCATATAAGTAAAACAACACATTTGTGTAATTAAAACTTGTACGTTGCAATGCAACCAAATAACACATCAAACAAAATAGCAGTATAAGTTTATCCTGAATGCTGGCGCTTGAGAAAAAGCAGGTATAACTGTTAGATTAAATTATGTAAGCCGGGAAGCCGCAAGCAACCCAACTGTCCAGTACAGGATGGCAAATACTCACACCTTACCACCCTTCTACCTCATTCTCATCAAGGACAGGGCTTAAACAAACAAAAAAGGCTCCCGCAACACTCCAATCTAAAAGTCTGAAATCTGAGACAGCCAAAAAAGACTATGGACTTCCGCTTAAAGGTATTTCCTCTTCTTTTCCACTTGAATGCCCCCAAATGATAGTGAATGACCAAAAAAAAGGGTAATAAACCAAAAGGACCAACAAGGGAAAGAAGACATAAGCATACAAGAAAACAAATATTTTGAAGGCAAAAAGGAAATGGTAAAGTGGTAACTTAGCAGACTAGAGAAAGTGATGACATGAGAGCTATGGAGTGGGTATACTGATGAGAAGAACTTACCCACCCCACAGAACCTCCAGAAGACGCAATACTGATAGGTGATCGATGTTGAAGAATGTGGGGGTAAGGCCCTGAGCTAAAAACTGGGATAGGAACAGAAAGAGTGTATAAAGAGCACCCCCATGCACCAGATGCAGAAAGGAACCAGTATAAACTGGAACACTAGAGCAGAAGGATAGAAGGTGGCAGAAGAAAGGTTTCTAGAAAAAAAGGGTGGTGGGGGGGAAGAAGAGGATTAAAAAATTGTGAAACATTTAAGTGCTTGAAAAATTTATTGACGGGTGTCTGAAGAACTTGGAAAAAATAGACAAAGGGGCGCCTGGGTGGCTCAGTAGGTCAAGCAACTGCCATTGGCTCAGGTCATGATCCCAGGGTCCTGGGATAGAGCCCCATGTTAGGCTCCTTACTCAGCAGGGAGCCTGCTTCTCCCTCTCCCTCTCCCTACTACTCTGCCTGCTTGTGCTCTCTCTCTGTCAAATAAATAAATAAAAAATTGAAAAAAATACACAAACGGGGTGCCTGGGTGGCTCAGTGAGTTAAGGCCTCTGCCTTCAGCTCAGGTCATGATCTCGGGGTCCTGGGATGGAGCCCCTCGTCAGGCTCTCTGCTCGGTGGGGACCCTGCTTCCCCTTCTCTCTCTGCCTGTCTCTACCTACTTGTGATCTCTATCAAATAAATAAAATCTTAAAAAAAAAATAAAAAATACATAAAGCAAATGAAAACACAAGGAAATTAATAATTCCATGAAAATGAAGTTATAGAAGAAATGAAACATAACCATGTATACTGCTTAGCTAGAGAGGGAATATATGTATGTTCATAAAAATAAACAGTGAGTACTGATTTAACAAAAAATGTAATCCTATAGGAAGGAGGACAGGGAGAGGTTACACAGAAATGGGGACCAGGTGTTGGGTGTTAGAACCCTAGTCCTCAATTACTATAAAAGAAGACTCTATAAAGGTAGAATAAGCACTTTTCTGAAATGTCAAAGTACATACTACTTTAAAGGTGTGAAGTAGATGCTTAATGGAGAGGAGGTAGGAGGAACCGACCTCTGAGTTTGAAGTATGGGGCTTCCGGTAGCAATTTTAGAACAAGGTAATTCCGACCAGTGGTCCCATTGAAAACAAACAGAAGAGCTGGCAAAATATAGTAAAAACACATCTGCTCAAAGGCAGAGAAAGCTTACAAGAGGATAAAGAATTAGCAGCTCGAGTTCTGGGAGAAGATGGGAATTCAGACAGATGAGCCTGTGGTTCACTGTTGAGTCATCTTAGTTTTTGAAATTAGATTAAGGAAATATAAGAATTCTAGAGACTCCAGGCAGTTGGCAGAGGAGAGCAAGACTGAAGATTAGTATCCTTAAAGGGAGAAAAAAGGCAAACGAAGGAAAGGCACCAGTAGAGTGGGGTCAGACAATCACCGTAAGAGAGCTCTTCAGGGGTATTTTGTCTGGGACAGTTTGCTTACTGGCCAGAGTTCTTGATAGAGAGGATTTTTGTAATCTGTAACTATGTTATTTAACTCAAACTTCTGAAAAGTAGGTTGTAGTCATTACTTGCAATTCTACACATTAAATTCACCTTCATTTTGTTCTAAAAAGAGTAAGGCAATTTTAACTCACTTTTCCAATACCATTTTTCTTCTCTGTGACTTATTGCTGCAAATGTTACATGGACCAAAATGGGCAGCATTAAGTGGGTGCCACTCAGGGATGACATTTGTAAAAGTGACCAGATTCTTCATATGTCTGCAAAAAAAGAAGACGTAACTTAAATTCATTTAAATTCATTTACTTCACTTTAAACAAATGCCTAAACCTTGCTTTGTTTATTCATATTTTCCTATCCCCCCCATGTAATAAATTAATATGCCAATGTTCTTTCCAAACCACAGTAAAGCTCTCTGTGAGGACTCTCCACCATATTACATACTATCTTTTCAGTTCTGAGATGAAGAGAATGTTCAAAGCAGGGTTTCTCAAGAGCAATACCACTGACATTTTGTACTGGGTAATTCTTGGCTGTGAGGCATTTCTCCTGTGCTCTGGCATCATCCCTGGCCTCTACCCACTAGCTGCTCCAAGTATAGCAACCATTAGCTCCAAACACCGCTAAATGTCCCAGGAGGTGAAAAATTACCCTAGTTGCGAACCACTGTTTCCAAATTTATTAAGAGCTCACCCTTACTTACAAAATTCACAATCCAGCTATCCATATTGACAACCAAAACCGAAAAAAAGGCATTTCCAAATATACAATCAGGAATACATACACCTTAATTCTCTTGATCTTAAAAAATCAGAATACCAGTGGTGAAATAATTTTGTTTTCAGAGATTACAGAGGTTGTAAATTTGCTCTTTGGCCAAAATACCTGACAGCAACAGGCACCTAAAAAGATGGTATTTAAAGTGGTACACTGTATCTCATTTGGATTCAAATCGATAAAAGTACCTTTAAAAGAGCAATTAATTACCTAAAAGGCACTGGCTTTTTTAATAAACAATAACAAATACTGTTCAATCATAAGTGAAATAAGCATAGGCTGTTACAAATATACCAATTCTCAGGGAAGCTAACATTTTAAAAGCAAAACGACATAAAGTTATCACTAAAATTGAATGATTTATTTCTACTAAATTTTTTTTTAAGATTTTATTTATTTATTTATTTGACAGACAGAGATCACGAGTAGGCAGAGAGGCAGGCAGAGAGAGAGGAGGAAGCAGGCTCCCTGCTGAGCAGAGAGCCCGCTGTGGGGCTCGATCTCGATCATGACCCAAGCCGAAGGCAGAGGCTTTAACCCACTGAGCCACCCAGGTGCCCCTCTACTAAATTCTTGATTTTCACAGATGACTGCTGAGTAAAGGCTCCTGTATTTTAGTCTATAAAAAGGAGTCTGTCTCAACAAATAAATGTTAATGCTCCACATGACAGCAAACACTTTTGAGCACTTACCATGTGTAAAAGTGGGGTGCTGTGCTAAGCACTCGTCTCCCAAACAACCTTAAGTGGCAGGTACCATTCCTCTCCCCATTTTACAGATGAGGAAAGTGAAATACAGAGTGTATCAAATGATAAATGACAGACCTGAGATTGGGAGTCTGACTCCAAATACCACATTTTTAAACTGCCTCCAAAATGTACGCTGTAAATCAAATAAAAGATCTTAAACTGGCCCTAAAAACAGCAGCACAAAACCATGAGTTTGCTGGATATTCCCCCATCAGATTTAGTGTAAATGTTTTAAACTATGATATATACTAAGATATATTTAATGAAATGCCACTTCATTTTAGCTTTTCCTCTATTTATTTTTAGAACAAAGCAATTAAAAAAAAAAAAAAAAAGGCAACCCCAAATGCCAGGGCTTCTTTTCCATGAATCGTCAGTTTTTTATATACTCCTCCAAAATGCACTTAACATTCTGCATTCGAAGTAACTTAATGCATCCAACAGATCAAAAATAATTACTAAGTCACTGGCCCTCAATTAGGTGTTTATATGTTATCTCCCTAACTAGTCTGAATTTGGCCAGGATAAAGATTATTTTTCTGTTGAGTTCCTGGCACATAAAATATACTCAATGAAAAGCCCAACAACTCAGATGTGGATTTTGGAAAAGCTGTAATTAAGCTGATTTTAATCATCAAGCTCATTTATATTATTTAAAATCCAGGTGGTGATTAAGGAGTATACCACAGTGAGTAGGAAAGTCTGAGGCCAGGAAACCTAAGCCTGAATTTTGTCACTTAGTAGTGTGTCATCTCGGGCCCTGCCTACCTATTTAACACCTTCAAGGTTCACTTTCCTCCTGTGTTAAATGAGGCAAAATCAGATAAGTTTATATAAATCAGTGATAGAAGGCCAGGAAATACTCATTCTTATACTCATAGAAAATTATTTTTAAGTCCTAGATGAGACTGAAATGGTTATCCTTACTCTGTTGTAATACTTTTGAGTTAAATGATGTTAAAAAAAAATAATTATTCTGGGTTCTGTTGCGTGTATTCCCTAGAACATCCTCTCAGACTTGACTCTCCTTGACTTACCACTACATACCAAAAATAATCTCAATTTAGATAATGAATATCTAAGCAATAGTTTTCTCTCACATTTTTATTTAAATTTTCTAATTTGCTAATAGGTACGAAAAGAGGAAAGGACTGATCTCTATTATAGTAATTTGAATAAATGACCAACAGAACCAGTTTGGTAATCTTTTTAACTGCCAGCCAGCAACTTTCTCTGAGTGATGGAAACTTTCCCTGACTCCTCTTCTAAAATCTACGGTCTCTGTTATGTGGTCAGAATAAGGAAGCAAAAGAAATCTGCTGCTGGTTTCTTCTCCATAGTTGTTCCCAAGTCCCAATCTCAGGGCATAAAATGATAAAGTGTATCACTCATGATCCCTGTAATCCTCACCCAAGGGCAGCAGGAAATAAGAAAGCAGGCTGAGAGAGCTCATAGGCAAGAGAATTCTGGTGGTGGCTGGTGTTTCATGGACAAATGGGAGAGCCTAAGTTACTTTTCAAAACTGCTGTGAGGCTCTCAGAGCCTCAAATCAGTTTCCATGATGTTTAAAAACATAACTAAACAACAACCCTAGCTGCTAACAGAGGAACAAACGAAACACTATCATTTCAAGGAATTCTAAGAAGTATTCTTACGCAGCAGGGAATCCAGAGGGGAAGCTGTGAGGGGAATATATTACTCTTCCCATTGTCTCCCCCTTCCACTGAAGAACTTCTTAAGAAAACTCCTACTAATTAATAATCCAGCAAACCATGGATTTTTATTCTTCTAGTTTAAAAAAGCAAGCAAACTGTAGTTTTTAGAGCTCAAATTTTTCCTTTTAATCTTAATGGTGGGGAGACTTCAAGATATGGTAGCAAATTTTACTGAGTGCAGAAGAACAAGGGAGAGAGCAGTGTTATAAATGGAAGCAAGTTTTATTCAAATGTTATTATTTGGAACCATTTTCAATAAAATACGTCCATTTTTAAAAAAGAGAAAAACTAACCTATTTTGATACTTGTGTCCACACTGTGAACATTCAAAGTTCCAAGAGAAAGAATACATGAAGAGCTTTTCAATGACGGGTTCCATTTTTAAGAGCAGGGGAAGTGCAAACACGGGGCTTTCCATATCACCTTCAAAAAGAAAAAGGAAAATTATTACTCATCATTAACTGAAAAAAGTGAACCAAAATTACTGTTCTCTTTTCTCACCTATGTTCACAATACAAATATATGTGAAAATATGAGTATATGAAGAATAAGTTATTTGCAGTTGGACAAGGGCAAGTTTTTAAGAATTTTTTTTTTTTTGGGGGGGGGAGAGAGAGAGAGAGAGAGAGAGAGAGTGAGTGCATGCACACAGAGGGAAGGGGCACAGGGAGAGTGAGAGAGAGAGGATCTCAAGCCAACTCCCGGGCTTAGCACAGAGACTGATGCTGGGCTTGATCTCACAACCCTGAGATCATGACCTGAGCTGAAATCAAGAGTCACACACTTAACTAACTGAGCCACCCAGGCTAGGGAAGTTTTTAAAGCATTTTTCTAAAAATGTCCATCATAAAGATTTAATTATCACTTCAGTTCCTGTCTCTCATTCTTCTTGGTGGACACTTATCAAAATGTTCTAAGGACAAAAGACCCATACTATCTCCTCAGATCTTTTTTAGCTTTTCTCTGGGGAAAAAAAAAATCCTCAGAACTATAATAGCCCTAGGATAGAAAACAAAATTATAATATGGTTTATAAAAATTATAATAAAGTACTATAAAACAAATTAAGAATATATATATATAGTTCACCACAAATACTAAAAATAATATATCTAGTTTAACACTGTAGAATAATGTCAGAGGTGGACAAAACCATTAAAAAGCCGTTTCTGGTCCAACTCTCTTGTTCTATGTATGGAGATGACGTGACACACAGTGTTAAAGGGCCAGCCTCAAATCTCCTTACTCCTCATGTACCACTCTTTGTAAAATCTTCAGTCTCATCTTTTAACAATTAAAATTAGGGATGCCTGGGTGGCTCAACTGGCTGAGCCTTCACTCTTGATTTCGGTTCAGGTCGTGATCTTAGGGTGTGAGACACCCCCTCACTGGGCTCTGAGCTCAGCGGGGAGTCTACCTGAGATCCTCGTGCTCTCCCTCCTCCCCTCACAAATAAATAAATCTCTAAACAACGCAAAACAAAACAAAACAAAAAAACAATTAAAATTAAACTTCAATGACTTTAAGATTAGAGAAGATCTGATTCCGGTGTCATTTAAATAAAAACTGAATAGTTAATCCAGTCTTCCAGTTTTTAGATCAACATGCAAATTAAACAGGAGGATTTACATTCCTCTTACACTTATTCTTGAAATGGTTTTTCACCTTGCCGTCCTTAGGGGAGCTTAGATGCTAAGACTCAGCCCTAGAAAGAATCAGAGTCCTTCCCTCCCCTACCTAACCTGGGAGAGTCTCACTTCCATGGTCCAGTTCTCCCCCTAGCCTGGAGCGACAGTGGCCTGGAACGAGGCCAGGAGGAGCCACCTTGGCAAGGCCCAACAGCAGAGCAGGAGGTGTTTCTGCCTAAGCATGCTCTATAAATACCAGTAGTTACAAAGACTATTTTAATAGTCACCTTTGTGGTACAGTCCCACCACTATCTTTGTACAAAAATAAAAATCAAAATAATCCATTTTTTATAAACAGAAATAAAAACAAATCAGTCTCCTAAACAGGAACCCACATAGCATCACCACACACATAAACCGCGCATAGTACAGCAGGAGTCTGTAACAGTTACTAGCATTTAAATCGTACTCTACTGTGACTGAATATTAATCAAAAAGTAGGTAATTTACGCTTCATAATGACAACACAGAATCTTCAAGTCTAAAAATACAAAAAGTTCTCAGTGAATGAAAATATGAAAGAAAAAATATCAAAGAAGAATACACAGTTAAGATATATGCATACAGATCATTTTAGGGAATTTATATAGCTCCTAATTGATCTTAATTATTTTTCCTTTGTTTACAAATTTTATGGGTATTAAGTATAAACCATCCACTAGAGAACATATAATACCAATAGAAATTGATTTCTTCGTCTCCAGCATTTTCACCCCAACACCTATCCAACTACCTAGTTTCCATATTTCTCTAAAATGACATAATTTGCCATAATACAAATCCTTCAGCAGCTCTTTGCTGTCTAGTCAAGTTTTCTCTTCTGATAATTGCTCGTTAATGTTTTCTGGCCACTTTTCTATGAGGCTGTCCTTTTTCTAAACTGATGTACAGAATTCTTTACAAGATATCCAGCATATTATTTCTTTGTTCTTCCTTTGCCTGGAGGTTTCAAACTTCAATGTCATCATATCTACCACTATTTTATGGACCTTATTTAGGAAATTCTTCCCCACTGAGAACTAAAATATTCACCCATATTGTTTCCCTAAGTTCTATAATTCTGCTTTTTCATGTTTAGGTCTTTAAATAGGCTGAAGTTACTTCTGATTACAGTGTCAAATAGGGATCCAATTTCTCCTGTCTCAGGAAACAACTGTCCCAGCATCATTTACTACACAGCCTTTCTTATCCCCCCCTTATAGGCATCACCACCTCTGTCACACAGTATGACATAAGCAAAAGGTGACGGTTTTCATCTGGACTCTATTCTGTTCTACTGGTCTGTGTACACATACCTCAAAAACTAAATCACTCTTTAAAATTACATAAATTAGTACAAACCACAATATGAGCTTTTTCTTTTAAAAAATTAGAGAAAAAGAAAAACAATAAATCGAAGAGAGCAGTTACTTTGCGGGGAGGTAAGGAAGAACTGAATTAGAGGTACAAAGGGGGCTTCATGTTTATTTGTAATATTTTATTTCTTAAACTGCGGGGAGGGTGAACAGAAAGGATAGTTTATAATGAATTTTTTAAAAACAATAATCAAAATGATACAATGACTGATCTTAAAAAATTTAACCAACACTCACGGTCAGTACAGATTCTATTTCTTTCTTTAGTACTTGAAAGTACACAGTAACATTCAGAATAAAGACACGTATGTTGTAGGATTTTAAAATGCTCTCCAAAGCAAAGATCAGATTTCACTAGTAAGATCTTAAGCTCCAACACAGCACCTATTACTGTTGAATGAATAGTATAAACACAAACAAGAGAGGAATTCCATTGTATTAGAAAAGCTGTATGCTTGCCCAAATGCTATGACTGCACAAAAAAATGATTTAAAAATTCCTTGTCTGTTACATAGAAAACACGGCCCAAGGCAGAAGTGGAACAAGATACAACCTTGTTTCAAAAATAATTATCAGGGCTAAGAGGAGTGCTAATTCAGACTGGGGAGAAACCACTCTTTAATTCAAATGGGAACTGGAGCAGGGACCCTGAATAAAATATCTCAGGTCATTCTAGGAGGGAAAGGACACCTGCAAAATGCACCATGGGAGCCCCTTGATCAATACTCTGGTAATCTTACAGAAAAGGCTCCTTTGAAACGAGTATCCACCCAACAGATCAGAGGTCTGGATTAAGAATAGGGGCTGAAGGAGCCTGAAGAAAACTTTCAGGGTGACAGAACTGTTCTCTATCTTGACTGTGGTAATGGTTATACACTGCATACACTTAAAAGGGGTTTTACTATTACAGAAATTACACTTTGTTAAAAAGGAAAAAAAAGAATATTCATCCCATCTGAGATCCTACCTGATGATAATAAATGAGAACAGTCCTTTAGACCTAAAGGAGACAATACCAAAGATCTGGCATATGGAAATTCATTTATTATTTTAAGAACAAAAAAAACATGTATGTAGGAGTTCATGGAAAACAAATAAAAGCAAGGAACAGCACGGTGGGACAAAGATACTACCACACAAAAAAGACGCTGCTTCCAGATACACATCTGAGTCTGATGAAATAAATCTTCTGAGAGAAAAATTAGAAGGCATTGATATTTTATGTAATTCAATATGGGTAATATATTTAGTAGAGGTATTATATATTCTTTACTATGACACGGTATTAACAGAAGAGTCAATACAACAGTAAAGAGAAATAAAACAAAAAGACACTACTCATTTAAAAAAAAAAATCATCAATGACTCTTTTTTGCAACACTGAAAAAATTTCAAAAGCCTCAGAACTCTAGTGCCCTAGCTCTACTCTGCTCTGAGGCCAAAAGCCAAATCACAGAGAAAAAACAGGTCTCATTCTTCTGCCCTTTTTAAAAGTAAGCAAGCTTTCCCAAAAGGTCATCAGTATATTTCTCCTTGTTTTTTACCAACGAAAATTGTGCCGTATGTCTATTCCTAAACCAATCACCAGCAAGGGAAGTCTAATTACTATGGTTGGCCTAGATCAGAGACTCTCAACCCTGTCCATCCTTAAGAATCACGCAGGGGCTTCTAAAAATTGCTGATACCCGACTCCATCTCTGAGATTATTATTTAATGGACCCCATGCACTTTTCAACTCCCTAGGTGCTTTGTAATGCACAGTCAAGGTTGACAACACTGAATTAGGCTACAGGGGGAAAGTATTGGAAACACAACCCATGGTGTCCACCCAAGTATCCACCTGCTTCCGAGAAATGCATCCACTTTCAAGGATATAAACAACGAGACTTGTTTATATAGAAACGACAACCCCGTCCACCAATGATTTAACCAGTGGTTAAGCTCCTAAATGAAACTACACAGATTCTCTCTCCCAAGAATCTAATCACCCAAACTAATAAAACAGTACTATATTTTCTTATGATGTAAGTACTTCTTTATGGTAGATGACTAATACAGTTAAATTACAGAAATTACTTACCTAATGTGCATCTAAGCTGAGGCTGAAGCCTAATGAAAATTTCATCTCTGACTTCATTCAGACAGGACTCTATCTTTGCAAGTATTTCTGAAGTAAGTTTTTTACAATCTCCATCTAAAAATGAAATAGATTATCAATTTCTTATCAATCTCTGTCTTTCCACAGAAAATTAAGACATTACCAAGAATGAAAGTTAATCAGTCAAAAAATTTAGCAGAGACAAAATGAAAACCACAAAATTTCCTTAATTCTTATTCCTGTGCATTGCCCTAATATTCCCTCAGCCCAGTATCATCAGTCCAGACTGCGGGAGCCAGTATCACTGTGCTTGACTAAAGCTCAGTAAAAGCCTTTCTCATCCAAATAATCACAGGCCTAGCAAGAGAGCGATGCTTTCAGACATTCTGCCTATCTCTGAAACAGCTGAAGCTATGTCTTTACATGTGATTATTACTCATGCTAGAGACAACATCTACTCATTTATTTCTATTATTTCTATTACTTCACATGAATTTGCTTCATTAAAAACTTTGCAGGCTAGTTATTACACTCCACCTGAATCGGGAGTTTTACTAACAATTCTCCTAGTACTGGATAATTAAGTTCTTTGTTTTTTCACTCTTATAAATACTATCATTTCACTATTATAAATACTATCATACTATCTTTTGGACACATACCCATCCATGTTTTTCTTCATTTCTTTAGGATTAAAGTCCTCAAAATAGAATTATTATGTCAGAAAACCAGCCCCCATATGTATCTGACTCTAGTTATTCTTTTTTTTTTTTTTTTAAGATTTTATTTATTTATTTGACAGAGATCACAAATAGGCAGAGAGACAGGCAGAGAGAGAGGAGGAAGCAGGCTCCCTGCTGAGCAAAGAGCCCAATGCCGGGCTCCATCCCAGGACCTCGAGACCATGACCTGAGCCAAAGGCAGCAGCTTAACCCACTGAGCCACCCAGGCGCCCCATGACTCTAGTTATTCTTAAGCTACAAAAGATTTCACCAAAATCTCTTACAAATAATTCATATAGCCTGATCATACTGCTAATATGTTTTACTATGAAAATATCTGGATTCTCCTATAATATGAAGCAATAACCAGAATTTTTCTTTAACCACGCCAAGAAAAAAAAAAAACTTAAAATTAAAAGTCAACTTACTAAATGCAATTACAACCACATTATAAAAAATATAATTATTACTTAAAAATTAGTATGATTGAATATGTAATATGGGTGAAATAAAGAGAATTAAGAGTACACTTACTGAGTTACATATAGAACTGCTGAAACATTTCAATGCACACCCAAAATTAATACAACACTGTATGTTAATTATGGTTCTATTAAAAAATAAAATAAAGTGGCTATGCTTTATAAAAAATATAATTAAAATTAATTCAACATTGAAGTCAAAATTTGAACATGAAATATATTCTTCTGTAATCATCTGAACTGTCACCTAACTCAGTATTGGGTTCCTATAATTACAGAGTACAAGAATACAGTGAAGAAAAGGCAAAAACAAAAATGCTTGTAAAAAAATGAATTTAAAATTTGCAAAAAATTCAATCTCAAAGAAATTTAAGTTTAAACAGTATTTCTTATCTAACAAAATTATAATTTTTATAAAATGTTTACATTCAAAGATGATCTGAGCGCTCTGGGATGTTTTCTTCTACATATGAAAATGATGATCTAACTCTTCAGGAAAGCCATTTACAAAGACTCTTTATGTTCAAATTTTAATATCCCTTCTAAGATATAATTGGCAATGGATGGATTCAAAGGATATATGGATTATCTGTCATGGTGTTTGTTCATAATTGTAAAAAATAATAAGCAGCCTGAATGGTCAACAATGGGGAAAAATGTGTAAGAATTATAGAAAACACGGCATGACCAAAGACAAGTGGAATAAAGGTGAGGATTCTTATACTACCAGACAGAAATAACCCTGGTAATTAAAATAGTGTGGTGCTGACACAGAGACAGATAAAGTGACCAAGAAAACAAAACTGAGAATGAAAGAACAGCTGCACACATATATGGAAGACTATGTAACAAAGGGCCTGGCAGATCAGTTGAAGAAAAATGTGGAGTTAGGAGCTAGGAAAAACTGGCTAGGTAACGGGGGAAAAAGGGGATGATTATCACACACAAAAATTAACTTGAGCTGAATTAAAATTCAATGTCAACAACAAAACTTTGACTTTTCAGTGAAAATATTGATTCTGATCTTGGAAAAGGAAAGATTCCTTTTAAATGTCAGAAGTATTACTAGCTACAAAAGGAAAGATTAGCAATTTCTGTACATCAAAAGGTATCTTTAAAAAAGTAAATACACAAGACACAATTTAGCAACACACATGACATAAAGATAGCAAATAAGACATAGAAACTCAAATAAGTTAAGACACAAACAGGCATTTCACAAAAGAGGAAACATGATCAATTCATCTTTGAAGAGCTGTCCAACCTCTTTAAAATTTGAGAAAGGCAGAGAGGTGGGTGGGGGACGGGTTAAATAGGTGAGGAGACTAGGGAGTACACTTGTGAGGAGTAGCAGGTGTTGTATGAACTGCTGAATCACTATACTGGATACACCTGAACCTAATGTAACTGTGTTAAGGGAATTAAAATAAAAACAAAATAAAGTAAAATAAAATAAAATAAAATAAAATAAAATAAAATAAAATAAAATTTGGGAAAGGCAAATCAAGACCATAAGCCATTTTACATCATTCAAAAAGCAAAATTCTCCAAGTGTGAAAATAACCAAGGGAGAATATATCAGGAAGATCTCACATATTGCTAATGAGAGTAGTGATGGTATCTTGTAAATCTGAACTTAGAGCCTATGATTTAAGATATATTTATCTGAGGGAGAGAGAGAGCACATAAGTGGAGGGGGGGCAGGAGAGAAAAATCTCAAGCAGACTCTGTGCTGAATGTGGACCCTGACACAAAGCTTCATCCCATGATCGTGAGACGATAACCTGCGCCAAAATCAAGTTGAACGCTTAACTGACTGAGCCACCTAGATGCCCCGAGTCTATGATTTGATTCCATTCCTATGGTATACCCAAGAGAAACTCTATTTGAGCCCAGGAATAGTCACAGCTACACTATTTATAATGGCAAAAAAACCAACTCAATGATAGGTAAATAAATATACTGATACATTTACAAAATGGTCATCTTTAGCAATGAAAAATAATGAACCACCAATACAAGCAGCTTCACAGATCAATCTTTATAAAAAGAAAATAGAACGGGGAACCTGGGTGGCTCAGTCAGTTAAGCAGCTGCCTTCAGCTCAGGTTCATGATCACGGGGTCTTGGGATCAAGTCCTACATCAGGCTCAGGGAGTTTGCTTCTCCCTTTCCCTCTGCTATTCCCCCTGCTTACAGTCTCTCTAATAAATAAATAAATCTTTTTTAAAAAAAAAAAAAAAGGAAAGAAGAAAAGGTCCCAGAAGACATTCTGTACAATATCCTTTTTACTAAGTTCAAAACAAACTAAAGTAGGAATATATTGTTTAGTAATACATATGCAAAACAAACAATTTCAAAAAAGAAGAAATGATAAAACACCTTTCAGGAGAGATGGAAGATGGGATGGGGAGGAACACATAAGTAGATTAAGTTATTGGAAATATTTTAATTATTTTGGGTTGGGAGGTGGATTCACAGGTACCCCATTTTCCAAGAAAAAAATTATATATATCCCTTATTGTGAATCAAGATTTTTGGGAAGTTGTAGAATAACAAGTGATTTGTGTCTGTATATTTTCCACATGTTATGAGACAAAACTATTCCAACATTAACTTCTTAAGATTTTACTTACTTGTCAGAGAGAGCACGCACACACAGGCAGGGGGAGTGGCAGGCAAAGGGAGAAGCAGTCTCACTGCTGAGCAAGGAGCATGTTGCGGGCCTCAATTCCAGGACCCAAGGATCATGAACTGAGCCAGCAGACGCTCAACCGACTGAGCCACCCAGGCATGCCTGAGCATTAACTTCTTTATAAGTAAGAGAAATAAATTATTACCAACCTTTAATTCCATCCAGCTGATTGGCATGCAGAAGTTTATTGGCTTGATCATACTTCATAAACAACTGCCAGAACACAGAATTCGCATTAGAGCACAGGTCAGTCACAGTATTTTTTAACCCTTCCAAGTGCACCAATGCTGACAGAATACAATCTAACCAACAGAGAGCATTAGCATTTTTCCACTGGACACATAAAGACTGGCAAAGTGATGTACATTTGCTCTCCAATGCCATTTCCAGTTCAGATGCGCATCCTTCATTCTGAGGAGAAATCCCTCCAGTTTCAGAAACATCAACTGTAGCAGGACATTCTTGAGCAGCCATGTCAATACCAGCCTCCAAAATCTCATTCTGTTCCAAGGAATCAGCTGTCCTAACTGGGTTCTGTAGACCACTGTGTGGTAAATCAGGTAAGTGAGACGAGGTTTCATCATATGCTTCTCCATCATGTTTGCTGTTCAAAACTTGTTCACCAACAACATGATTTTTAGTCTTTTTGGTATTTGCTAAAGGAGGTGAATCTTTATAGTTGGTTTCCAAGAACTTCCTTTTTTGAGGCTTACTTATGGTATGACAATCTTCCAAATCAGGAGAAATTAAGTTACTAAGTGATTTAGAGCCCAAAGGATAGATGCACTAGGAAGAAAAAAGAAAATGATAAAAACTACAAAATATTCAAATAAAGCTCAAGTTTTATATTACACTTTCTATGTCATGAAAAATACATATAAAATTTTAGTATCAGTACAATTGTACCAATCTAAATTTAAAGGAACTAGAAATAAACCACTATTAAATCAAAATTTTGGCCCCCCAAAGTATAATTTTCCTTAGTTAATTTGAACAATCGAGGGTTTAATCGGATCCACACTAGAGGAAGCTGACACGGAAAACATACATACTTCTGTTTTAATAAAAACCTAATGTTGAGTGAGTTAACAAGTTTCAACAATTTAAAAAAACATTCTGAGTGTTACTCGTTTTCGGACAGGTAATAACATTAAAAATCGGAAAAGTATTTTCATTTTCGGGGTGAAGCATTTTCAAATTAAAAAAATATGCATTAGTAATTTCTGTGTTTAATTTTAAAACTGAGTATTAATCTGAGCACACGTAATCATTACCAATTTTACATCCTTACTGGATCTAAGAGTCAAACTGGCTGAATTTTAACAACTTCATCAAATCTTATTACGTATTAAAACAACTTCAGCCAAATATCACAAGTGTAGACAAATGACCGAAATAATCAATTTTCCCCAAGTTTGAAACCTAGGAAAATATTTTAAAAGACAAATTTAATATATTATGTGTCCTCATTTAAAATAAATGCCTACTTCTACACAAAAATGGTAACTGCTACTTTGATGGCCTCTTCTGTCTAAGGAACTACCCCTCCTGCTATTCATGCCCTGGTAGTGTCAGTCCTGTGCTGCACCACTCTTGGCTTAGCCATGGGACCAGCTATGATGGGATGCTCACAACACGATGCATGTGGAAGCCTGATAAGCACAGGCGCATTAGGCTAGTCTTTTGGAGCCTTCCTTCTGGAACACTCCTTGAAGGTCCCATCCATTATACTGTGAGGAGACCAATTAGCCTCACGGAGAGACCCTCATGGAAAAGAATTGAGATCCTGGCCGACTGCCTGAGCAGAGTTCCCAGTTTGCAGCTAGCACCAACTGCCAGCTATGCGGACATTTTAGGCTTCCTGGCTGACAGCAGGTAATGTATAAGAACTACCTACGCAACCCAAAGAATCATGAGGAATACGAAGTCAAGCCATTAAGCTTTTTTTAGTCACTAGGTTGTAAGCAACAGATACTGAAATGCACTAAGTCCTCTTTACAAGTACAGCTTCTCCTATACAAATGAACACTATGCTCATAATATTGTACTTATAAAATTCTTTAGTTTAATAGGTAAGTTCTGGATTCTTTTCACTGTTACCAACTAGGAATGCACTCACCAACTAACAACTTGACCCTCAACTTTACACCCTGAGATTATTTCCTAAATCCTACCAATGTCAGAAAATAGAGAACACTTTAAAACAGCAATAATTTTGTATTCATAGTCATAGACAGGTATATACTCCAAAACAATGAAAGCAAGACTTCAAAGAGATTTGCACACCCATATCCACTGCAGCATAATTCACAACACCCTAGAGGTGAAAGTAACCTGAATACCATGAATGGACAAATGGATAAAGAAAATGTGGTATATACATACAATGAAATATTATTCAGCCTTAAAAAGTAAGGAAATCTGTTCGCTGGCTACAACATCTATAAATATTGAGGACATTATGCTAAATAAAATAGGTTAGTCACAAAAGGGAAATATGGTATGACTCTACTTATATGAGGTACCTAGAGTAGTCAAATTCATAGAGACCAAAAGTAGAATGGTGGTCCCAAAGCATGGGCGAAGGGGGAAAACAGGAGCTGTTATTCAGTGGGTACTAAATTTAAGTTTTTCACAATGAGAAAGTTCAAGAGGTCTGTTCCATAATAATGTGAATACACCTAACACACCTAAACTGTACACTTACAAATGATTAAGATGGTAAATGTCATGCCCTTTTTTTTTTTTTACAAAAACAAAAACAAAAAAGCTTTACTGATCTCAGAGTCCAGATCATGATGTGCATATCCTACCAGCACCCCTACTTAATTAAAATCAATAAACAATAATGGGCCCCGGAGCTGCAAAATTTAGTGGTCTAGACGGTTTTCTCCTACATTATTTGCAAATGTCTCAACTAACTTTTCTATCGGTAATTTGTGCTCCAGTCATAGGGCCAGTTTAAAGTACAATTTGTCCTTGTCCCATTTTATCCCTCTTATAAATCAGTGCTTTCAGATTTTTATCTCTTTATACCTGGACTTTATATTTTTATCTCTTTATACCTGGACTAAACATTATAAAGTTTCTACTTCATAATGAACATGCCATTTCAGTTACTAGAAGTTTAGCTTACCTTAAAAAAAAAAAAAAAGGAAAATCATAAATGATAACTACATAGAGTATTAATTTTTCCATCTAGCCCAACCATGCAAGAGCATTTAAAATCTTAGGTTGAAAAAATTTAATGCTCCCTCTTTCACTGATTTTTTTGAGCAGCTTAAATACATTCCTGTTTTCCTATAAAACAGAAAAAGGAAAACACTGCACATTACCTTGATATGGAAAATTATAAGGTATGCCAAAAACAAACTATAAAAATACTTACAAAAAATAAATAGTTTACATTCATTTTACAAATGAAGAAAACCAAGAAAATGAATGTTTTCTCTGACGACTTAACTAAAGACTAGGAGCCTTATAAATTTCATGCTTTAAAAAAAAAACCTAAATAAATGTTCCAATAAAAGACTACAATGGAATACTCAAGAAAAAAAAAACCAAACAGATAAAACTCCCTACAGTTTGAAAAAACTTGAATTTCAATTTATTAATTTGGAAGCGGAGTTTGAATCTTAGTGTTTTTTTCAAATCAAGAAACTTCTGATTAAGAGGGTTTTCCCATGTGATTCTTTGCAATTTGGCAAGTGAAAGCAGAATGTTCAATGGATTTAAAATTTTACAATAAAAATATTAACAAACTGATTCAAAGGTCTTAAAGACCAGGGATCAGCAAACTTTGCCTGTAAAAGGCCAGATAAGTGGACTAGTCCAGGTCTCTGTCATAACTACTTAAGTCTGCCACTATAATACAAAAGCAGCCATTGACAATGCAAAAATGATTGTGTATGGCTACATTCCAATACTACTTTTTTTGGACACTGAAATTTGAAATTCATGTAATTTTAATATATTACAAAACAGCATTTTTTTCATTTTTGCCTAGTAATTTAAAAATGTAACTAACAGGGTGCCTGGCTCAGTCATCAAGCTTCTGTCTTCAACTCAGGTCATAATCCCAGGGTGCTGGGATCCAGCCACACATCAGGCTCCCTGATCAGCAGGAAGTCTGCTTCTTCTTCTCCCACTTCCCCCAGCTTGTGCTCCCTCTCTTGCTGTCTCCGTCAAATAAATAAAATCTTTAAAAATAAATAATCAAATAAAAACGTTAACTATTGTTCTTAGCCTGTGGGTGTCATACAGAGTTTGCTGACTCCTGGTGTAAACCAATCTACTTCATAAAATACACGGGGCTCTTACTGAATAGAACACTTCCTTAAAATTAGATAAAAAATTACAGTACTTTTTTTTTAATCTGCAAAGCATATACTTAAAATTCTTGGTTATTTATTTTTTTCCTCATCACTTTAAAAAAATGCTTCAAAACTAAAAATGCAAATAATACCTCTAACTTTTAATAGCTAAAAGCTAATGTCCTAAGGACAGGGACTTCTTTATTATGGCAGTCCATGGTGAAAGAACTCTACTGAAATACTATACATTGCTTGGAAGAGCGGAAAATATAATAGTTCTTTTTCTAGAAAGACTTCTCTTTCCTTTGGTTACCATTCTACAACTTTGATCTGAGTTAATGAGTACACACCCTATACAGTCCCCTGTTAGGATAAGCTGTCAAACAGCCTAACATCAAGCCCTCTCGCTGTTCGATAGAGCCCACTGCCTGCTTCAAGGGTAGCTCTTCAGCAATTCTGGGACACCTTTTCCCTCTCCACTGGATATAATCAGCATACTAACATGCTGTTATTTTTTCCAACTTAAAAATTTCCTCCTCCAGGTACCACCTCACATCTGTATTTCTCAGTTCTTCCTAATTTTCTGTAACTCACTCCAACCAAGCTTTCCTTTATCACTAACACTTTACCCAAAATATTCTCATCAAGGTTCTCAACGAACCCACAACACTCTACCCAGTGGTGAATTGAGTCGTCATTCTCCTTGAGATGAAAGTAAATAATTTGACTTCCAGAACAAAATACTCTTACCTTTCTGGGTTTACTCCTACCTCACTGTCCAATTCTTCTCTTACTCCCTTCCTAGTTCCACTTCATCTCCCCAGTGTCTTAATGCAAGAGTGTAACAGGGCTTAGTCCTTGGATTGCCACCAATACTTTTAGGTAAACTTATCCCCTTTCATGGTTCAATTATCTACATGCTGATGACTCCCAAATTATCTCTCTCTAACCTCACGCTCTACCTAATACCAGACACAGAGATCCAACCACTTATTCCATATACCCTCAAGTACCAGATGGCTGTCTCAAGCTTGACTGGTCCTGGCCTATCTTCCCCCCAAATCTTCTTCTTCCCAAAGTCTTTCTCATCTTAGCAACAGGCAACTCCACTATTCCAATAGGTAACCTTACTCTTCCAATTATGTAAGCCAAAAATCTGGGAATCATTCTTGATTCCCTGCTCTCCTACTATGCATCCCAATCTTTCAGCAAATCCTCTTTGGCTCTATTTCCAAATTACATAGATAATCCAACTACATCTTATCACCTTAGCCACTATTTGCTCCCCAAGGAATATTCTAAGTGTCTTTCAACTAGTCTCCCCACTTCAGGTCCTGCCCATTAGATATACTTTCAAGAGAGAAGCCACAGTGAACCTTTTAACATTTAAATCAGATTATGACTCTCCCCGTTATGGCTCTTCATTTCAGCCACAGTAAAAGCCAGTGATTTTACAACAGCCTCTAAAACCCTATTTGGTCCAGTCCCCTCACTATTATTTTTCTAACCCATCTTCTATTACTCCGCTTTACTTAACTCAGATCCAGCTCTGCTAGTTTCCTTGCAGTAGAACAAACATGCACAGGCAAACTTTACTGGCTCAGGGTCTTGTACCTGCTACTCTCCCGGCCTGCAATGCTTGTCTATCTGAAATTCACATGGCTTGTTTTTCATCCCTTTCAGGTTTCTGTTCAAATGTCACTTTCTCAATGAAGAGATCCCCTTCACCACTCTATTTAAAATTGCTAACTACCCACTCCCTAACACTCCAGTCCCTGGGCTTTATTTTTCATTACCTCATACACAAAAACTGTAACTTACTTACTGATTTTTCCTCCCTCTTAGAACACACCCACCTTTAAAAAAAAAAAAAAAAAGATTTTATTTATTTATTTGGCAGAGAGAGAGAAAGCACACATACAAGCACAAATACAAGCAGGGGGAGTGGTAGGCCAGAGGGAAAGGGAGAAGCAGGCTCCCCGCTGAGCAGAGAGGTGGACCTGGAACTCCATCTCAGGACCATGCCTAAGCCTAAGGCACACACTTAACCAACTGAGCCACCCAGGTGCTCCCATAACCACCTTCTTGAGGGTAAGGTACTTTTTGCTTTATACATTGTATCCTAGCCTTTGGGACATTGCCAATGTGGTGACACTCAAAAAAAAAAAAAAATTATTGAATAAATGCAAAAAGAAACTTTTTTCTATTTGTAGGAATGCCTGGGATTTTCTTCAAGTTACACTCAGGAAAAGTATCTATCACTATCAGTGTTCATTTAGTTTAGTATTTTGCAAACTTGGCCAATCATCAGACTCATCCCTAAGAGTTACAAGACTATATAATTCTGGGTTAAGTCTACTAACTGGCATCTGGGGGTGATACCCAGAAATTTTTTAAAAGTACTCCACGTGATTCTGATGAACTGCGAGTTTACTTGGAATGAAACATATCTGAAATTACAAGACTATATTCCAATTACAGTTCTGCAAAATTTATGAAGATCTTATGCTCCTAAACTCTCTCTGATTTCTTATTCATAATGGAAATATCTACTTCGCAAAGTTTTGAGAACTAAACATACATATAAAAGTTTCATAAACTGTCAAATAAAATAAAATGGGGAGTATTATGAAGTTTAATGAACTCCTATATAAAAGCTGTGCCACTGTGGGTGCCTGGGTGGCTCGGTCAGTTAAGTGACTTCAGGTTAGGTCATAATCTTGGGTTCCTGGGATCTGAGCCTTGAGTAGGGGCTCCCTGATCAGCAGGGAGTCCACTTCTCCACCCCCCCCACCCCCGCCAACTTATGCTCTCTTGCACACACGTACTCTCTCTCACTCTCAAAAATTTTTTTTTTTAATTTGTAGCACTGGATACACTGGATATTTAGATTCTTAAGTATATAATATTTAGAGATTAATAACTTTTCCAGTAAGTTCCAAAGTTTATAAATCAAAGAGATGAAAGGATAACCACTACATACCAACAATTAACAAGGACCCCAGCAAGGTTAAAAAAAAAAATCCATCTTGAAATGTATTTTCTCCTCTCACAAGTCTAACGATAATAAAAACAAGTATCTTCATGCAATAATTCAGGCAAAATAACAAAATATTTAAAACTGTATACTAGACAGATCTAGATACTCTGGTTATCTATGTATTAAAAATGTACAGTCTAAAAAATACATAATGAGTACAAATTTAAACACTGAAGAAAAAAGCAAAAAGCTAAAACCTTAATACTATCTAAGATTAATACTTTACCTGCAGATCCTCACACAAAAAGATAGATTCTTGAAAACTAATTCGGTAAGTCTTTAAGGCTTTTAACTTTCCCTTCTCTCTACAAGCAGGGCAATACCCATCTGACGGGACTTTAGCTGAATCATAATTCTAAAAAAGAAATAAAGTAAATTAAAATATAGACATTCCTAGATTGTATCAAATTACAAAAAGTTATATGGAAAAGTAACCCAGAAAAAAAATACAATTTTCACCTGGAAGTGTCCTGGCTAGATATTTTAAACATGGCAAATAAAAGAAATGCATATATGCTTTAAATACAACTATTATTCCAAAAAGAATATATTATAGTTTTAAATATTAAATTTTAAGTTTTAAAAATAGCATCAGTTTTATTTGCAAGAAAAAAAGTAATGTCAGCTGCCAGGGAAAATATATGTTTCATATTTTCAGAGAATAAACCACAAGGTCTATGTTTTATTTCTACTTTCACATATTAATAAAACACAGAGAGGTAAATACATTAGAATAATCTTTCGCCATTTCTGTAAGATTTCCGTGGAAGATATAGTTTTTTAAAAGTTAACTGGTAAAATTAAAACCGAATTTCAGTCTCAAAAAAGGAGGAAAAAACCAAATTTGCACTGAGGCAAAAAATAAGTTCACTAACTTTTCCCAAATACCCCACCATGTGGAGTGAAGATATCCCTATATCAGTCCCTGGTCCAATCACTGGCAAACCATTTCCAATCTTCGGGGAATCCATCATTCCGAGTCATTGGCTAATTTATGTCACTTGAAACATGTCAATATCACTAAGGATTTTTCAATGAACCCTGGAAAAAAAAAAGTCAATAGACAATTAAATAAAAGTCCTATTTACTTTGAAAAAGAGCTATGCTATCTTATAAGATGCATATATATTAAGTATGTTTTGAAACTGTATGTCCCAAAATAAACATATTCTAAAATTGTAAGCTTGAAGCAAAAACAAATTACCTATATTTACTTATAATCCTAGTGAATTTGTTGGAAGAGGGCAGATTGGCAACAGGACCAAGTTTGACTCATTCGTAAGCAAATTAATTAAAACTTGTAATAGAAATAAGCTATTATTTAAATAACAAATTATACTGACCAGAGTTTAAAAACCTAGGTTTTTAGGGTCTATGCATAATCTGAAACAAGCATGTTAGCATCCTACTAAGAATACATTTTACAGACGCCAGATCTATTATACCATCGCTTGACAGCGACAAAAGAACCCGATACATTTTTACTGCTCAACCACCAAGGTCATCAAAAGAATTATGCTATTTTTTAAAAAATTCCCAACAATATGCTATTTTATAATAAACAAACTATATCACACAAAAATATAAACACTATCATAGTACAAATTACACATGTAACAAGCTTGTTTTGAGTTTAAGCCCACAGAACAGAATCATATTCAGTAAAGTCAAAATTATAAGTCTGGAGCTCAGTACAAGGGAAAATTAATTATTAAGAGTAGTTTAGATATGGATTTAAAATATAGGGAAACCAGACACAAAAGACCTTAAAGCAGAGTAAATCACCACTTAGTAGGGATGCTGTAAAATAACTTCAAGCAAAAGTCTTTCCCAAATCTATGAATTTCTATGACAACCACCTCCTGGGAAACTGTGGCTTACAGATTCACTTTAAAAACCAGTTATGCTATTCTATTCCAGATGTATAAACTTTACACATCTTTTAAGCCATGGAATAATTTCAAAAATAAAAATGCTTCTAAGAAAAGTGTAAGTGAATCTCAAACTCCTGAAGAAATATTGCTAAGGCAGGATTTCTGAACTACAGCACTACAGACATTTTGGACCAGACAATTCTTCCTTTTGAGGACTGTCTTGCACATTGTAGGATGTTCAGCAGCATCACTGACTTCTACCTACTAGATGGTGAGTGAGTGCCATGGGCACAACCCAGCTGTGAGAACCAAAAATCTCCAGACATTGCCAAATGACCAGGGGAAGCAAAACTGCCTCACTGAGAACCACTGCTTTTTGCTTTTTTTTTTTTTTTTTGACAAAAATAAGCCGGATGATAACTTTTACTTCTTCAGCTCCTCAAAGACAACACCAAATTTCTTATTTTTGGCTGGCTCCATTTATAATAAACTTACAAAAGAGAACTATACAGGAAAGAATCAAACTGCTTATGATTCCAGAGTAGCTAAAAGCATGGGCTTTACAACTGCACATGTGGGTTCAGAAATTTTTAACACTGCTTTGTACTAAGAATTAAATACAACAATACACGTAAAATGCTTAGCACCTGAACAGACAGTAAATTTTAACCACTATTCATTCAGTGCTAATTTTATACTTCACTCTACGTACACAATACACTGCACATCTTGTATTATTCTGCAGTATTCTCAGAAGAAAAACTGGTGCCCTATATAACCTGAGTAAGATGTTTCTGATGACAATTTCCATCTGCCAGAGGGATCTAAAAAACTTTCTTGGCCTTTTTTCTCTCTCTCAATTATATAAGTAAACATAAGCCTTCAAATCTGCTCCTGATTCTGATCCCAGCAGCCAACATTTCAGTGGGAAAAGCAGATAGGTTGGTGATGGAAATTCAAATATGCAAAACCCCACAAAAAAGAAAATTCATTAAAAAAAAAAAAATACCAGGGTGCCTGCGTGGGTTAAGCTGGTGCCTTCGGCTCAGGTCATGATCTCAGGGTCCTGGGATCGAGTCCCACATCAGGCTCTCTCCTCAGCAGGGAGCCTGCTTCCCTCTCTCTCTCTCTGCCTGCCTCTCTGTCAACTTGTGATCTCTCTCTGTCAAATAAATAAATAAAATCTTTAAAAAAAAAAATACCAGAGATGAGCTATCCAGGTCTTTCAAAAAACAATCAACTTTGTTTTCTATACAAACCCTGGGGTAATTCTTACAATTTGCCTTCAAGGCTCATCTTCATTGTTCTCCCTACCAACATAACCTGCTCCTTTTTATTGTATCTGACCTATATTTTGGTGTCTTCATCTTTCCAAACACACACACAAGAAAATTTGAGTGGTCCTCCAAATTTTCACTTCCCACTTCTTCATGCAGTAAAAGTCACCACATTCTGTGGACAGTTCTTTGGAAGCCTCAAATCCCCACCTCTCCATCCCATCTCAATTCTGTAACACTGCCAAAGTGACGCTTGTACAAAATGAGTTTTAAGCTGAGACAGCTCAGCTTAAAATCACCTGTTTACTCTAACTCTATTCAGGAAAGTCCAAACACCTCAGTACGGACCTGAAAGTAGTATATGACCTAAAGCTCACTATACTTGAGACCAACCTGGCTTTCCAATCTTGCCCTCCTCTACTCCACTTCACCCTCAGCACCTTTCTTATGACGCCCTCTTTTCAGTACTTCTGGGAGTCACTGATACTCCCGGACCCCGAATGTGAATTACTTAGCCCCATACGAGCGCAGTTACAGCGCAATGAATGTGTAAAGGTTGCCCTGGGAATGACGAAAAATATGCAGTTAAGCTTGTTTCACAGTCCCGCGTGCACTGTGGGGAAACCCACAGAACCAGCTGTTCCGAGAAGAGCCTTAAACCCATTTTGAGTTTGCCCTCCAAGACCAAGGGGGCTCAGGACATGAATTACCAAAGGTACGACCAGAGCGAACTTAAAGCCGAGGAATGGGGCGGCTTTGGGTGCCCGGCCCTGCCTGGTTCCAAACCCAGCCCTCCAGAATCACAGACGCACAGGACCAAGACATCAAAGGTTCAAAACCCAACCCTGAAAACCCGAGGAGGTGCAGGATTCCGTTAACCCTCTCCACCTCCGCGCTCTTTAGAAGAGCGAAAAACAAACGACTCTGGTTTCTCTTCAGCATTTACCTCTCTGAACCAAATCGAATCAGTAACTCTTATCTCCACACCTCAATCACCAAGCCTCCCACCCGAGCCCAGTCCCTGCCCCCTTTCCTCCCCCGGCATAGTCCACCTTTCTGCGCACCGACTACCCCAAAGGCAGTGTCTTTTCCCGGCGCTGTCCGCCTTCCCGATTTCAGGAACCAGAGGAAACTACACTCTCTTCTCCCTTACCTGCCGCGTGCACTCCCCTTGCTCGCACCGGGTCGGTCCGAACTCCTGTTCCAGATTGGGTCCACACTCCACCGTGCAACGTTCAACCCACGTTGCCCTCGGCCTTCTCCTCCCCCACCGGCCTCTCCGCTGGAAAAGCAGCTTCCGGTTTGAGTCCGCGGCAAAAGAGTTCCCCTTCCTGCTCCGCGCGGGGCCTGAAAGTACGTCGACGTGGTGGGGAAAGCGAGAACCAGAGCACTTCCGGACGGCCTCTGCAGAGGCGTGGCTGTCCTCCCGGAGTCGCAGCCGCAGTTTCTGCAGCGGCGACGGCTAGGGGCGGGGCCGGTGGCTGCCGAGCCCGGCATCTGTGAGTGGCTGGGTTTGGGGAGGCGACGTTTCTGGAAGCTGCTGGAAAGCGCTCGAGTGGCGGAGGTGACGCCGACGGGCAGGGGGTGGGGCGTGATTAAAACTAGTGCGCGTCCGACAGCGGAGGGATTAGGCTGAGGGAAGAGACTGGATTGCGCTCCGTTGCGCACTGGCCCGTGGGATCCCGGGTCGGACGGAAGTCGACGCGGCGGAGGGTGACCTGGGTGGGTGGGTGGGTGAGGGAAGGGCTCAGTGGCCTGCACAGGCGGAAAGGTGCAATGGAGCCTGTCGGACGGAGCGTCTCTGCAGCGCTGCGGCTTCCACGACGATTGTGGGTCGCGCAAAGCCCCCGTTGTCCGCTCTTTTAAAGCCTCGGTGAGAGCCGAGCAGTCACAGAGTGTGTGTTCACAAAGGGTCACCACACGCGGGGCTGCCCCCTCTCTGTCTCCCTAAACCCCATCTTCGAGGCCAGGGGCTTTTCTGCCAGGATTCTGGGGGTGTTTCTCCTCCTTTCCTCCCTCCCAGATCTTCTAACGGTAAGGGGAGTAGCCAAAGCACAGGGACTTTGCTCTCCATGAGCCGTTCTAAGTAGTCAGCAGCCGATCTGTCCCTGCTGCGCTCGTTTCAGCTGCCCTGCCTTGCTTTAACTTCAGAGAAAAGGGGGAGTTCTCATTTAGTTGATAAGTTTAAGGCTCTGCTTTCTTAGGAAGGTCTTGTGGTTTAAGGGACACCGTGACCGCGTGCGCTATTTCTGAGTTGCATTCTGAATCTTGGGGCAGCATATTCTAGAAGTCCTTTTGGTCGATTGTTTCTATGTCCTAGAGTAGTATGTAGTTTCTGACCATTTCTTTTTGCAGAGTAACCACCGTTGGCATTTTGGGCTGTGGGGTATTTTTAGTGGTCTCAAAGTATATAACTATATTTTGGAATAATGCTGGTGATTTTGATAGGGCGGTATAGAGGAAACAAGTCCCATATACCAAGAAATTCCTCAGTAAAAGATTTTAGTTTTACTTAAGAATGCGTATGGCTGAGAAATCCAATACGGAGTCTATTTTGTTTTTCTCCAGACTGAAAACCAGGCTGGTTAATTTTTGTTTACCCTCTTTTTGTTGTACTCGATTATTAATATACTGGTTTATTTGTTGTAAGATCTAGTTAAGTTTTCTCTTTTTAAATGAATTATGAAAATGCGAGAACCTAGTATTTCCACCTTGAAATAATAGCCAAACTCAGAGTTTTTCTTGTTCACCATTGCTATTTCCATTTTTTAGGATGGAATACACTAGATTTTTTTTTTTGTAATAGATGTTTGCTGCATTGTTAACTGCATAAATGGAACAAAATAATTGATTCAGTTAAAATTTTAAGATTGAAAAATCAACATCGCCAAACTGAACTGTATCAATGAAACGTTGTTTGTAAAGTTGATTTACAGTCTTTTAGCGCAAATTTGATTTTTTTGCCAGGAAAAAATGGATGTGGGGCTTGGGTTGTGGAAAGAAAAGAGGATTTTAGTATATACTGTGTTTTGACTCGGAGCTATTCTTTCTTGTAAAAAGTAGAAAAAGTTCTGCAAGACTTTATAAGATAAAAAGAATGATGATTATATAGGAGAGTCAATTAGAAGAGGTTGACTAGAAAGTCTCCTTTCGTTTATATTAAAGTAACAGTCTCAAGTTGAAAAAATTGAATGCATTTATGTTTTTTCTTTAGCAATATATTTGGAATGCCTTTTTCTGTTTACACTGGTCTCAGAAATAGGGCAATTACCTCACAGGAGAATTAAAGCAGTCTTGTCAGCAGTGTAGGACAGAAGTTTTATTTACCTGTTTTGAATTAAAAACTAACACAATCTAATCAAAGGGAGTTTTTATTAGAACATCTACAATAGGAATATAATGTACAATTAGGATTTTCTGTCTGCCTGTCTTCTTTCCTTCCTTACCTTTCTTACCTCCCTTTCCTCCCTTTCTTTCTTTCCTCTCTCCTTTCTTTCCCTTCTTTCTTCTTATAGTGTCAGGTTTTGTCCTGTCTGCTAGGTTGGATTCTGTAATCACAAGCCAAGTCTTCAGCCCAAACCTGGGATGTAAAAGCTGCCTGCTGTGATTGGTTGGTCTGATCTCATCAAAAAGATGAGAGTTAAAGTGACTAACCATATTTTTAATAGCACCTTTGCGAGTATAGTCTATATAATCTCTTGTTTAATTCCAACATTCAGGAGGCTTTGCAAACCAAAAACTTTTTAAGCTTGGAGATAAAATGCATTTGGTAACAAAATATGACCTGAGCAAATGAGAAATTGTATATAATTTTTATCCCATATATTTTGCTGAAGAAATATTATGTTTGATTATGGGGTACTGCCGTTGGCCACTGGTATGGGAGGTGTTACATAATGGTTTGTGTACCTTGTAACATTTTTAAATTTCAAGAAATTATTACTTTTCTTTTTTCTTAAGATTTATTTATTTGTTAGAACACAAAAGCTTACAAGCTGGGGGAGTGGCAGACAGGGGGGAAAGCAGGCTCTCCAGTGAGCAAGGATCCTGATGCAGGGCCTCCACCCCAGGGTTCTGGGATCAGGACCTGAGCTGAAGGCAGAGGATTAACCAAATGAGCCGCCCACACGTCCCAAGAAATTACTATTTTTAAAACACATCCAGACTCTGGGTTTTGGTTAAGGAATTAGAACCTATATAAATATTTTTGGCAGTACACTTGTGCTAGGCATTTGCATATTTAGAAAATTAAAATAAGACACTTTAGTTCTTGCCCTCAGTGAATTCAGTTGAGATAGGTTAGAAAAAATATATTTATCATATTGTGATATGTGCAGTCACATATTTGTAAGTGTAGCCACATCAAGGCCACACAAGAAATTAGTAGCCTCAGGATTTGAGGTTATTTCGTACTTTAGACTCTAAACTTTAGACCGAACACGACAACCCATTTTGTAGCCTAAACTTGTTTGTGTTTTCCTCCCACAAAATGAGAAAATGGTATGCATAGAGTAGATATTGGAATGTCTGATTTCTAATCCTCTTTTGCTGTGTGATCTTACATGAGTCACAAAATTTTCAAGGCCTTGGCTTATAGATCTATAAAGTGAGAAGTTTGGAATAGGTAGTCACAGTTTCAGTATTCTACCTGCAGATATTTATCCTCAGAACTATGCCTACTTTTTGAAGTGTTTTCCATTAAGAACATCATCCTATTTCATCTCAAACTATTTTATTGCCCATCTAAATTTTATGTTTTCCTTTTGGATTAGGTAATACATTCATATGCTTCAAAATTCAAAAGGTAAAAAAGAATATGCAGTGAAAAGTTTTACTTCTCCTGCCCCTTAGCCACCTTGCCTAGGAAGCAACCAATGCTAACAGTTTCCTTGTATATTTCTCAAAAAAACTTTCACATGTATATAAGCAAATACTACACATATTTTATTTTTTGCCTTTTTTCACATAGATGGTACTATGCTGTTTATGTACCTTATTTTTTTCATTTATCTTGGAAGTTCTGTGTCATATAAGGTGGTTCCTTATTCATTTTTATGGCAGCATAATATTCCATCATATGATGTATCACTTCATTAGTCCTCTCCTTTTGGACATTTAGATTTTTAATAAAAATTAGATTTTTATTAAAAGCATTAATGAATAACTTTGTACATTCCTCATTTTCCATGTATGTGAATGTCTTTTCTGTAAATAGTGGCATAGCTCTATTGGGTTAGTGACATAATTGATAAAACCATGTCATTCATATTTTTATGTTATTAGTTAACAATAACAAAAAATTGATGGCTCAGGGTCTCAATACTATATTCCCAGGTTTCCATCAACTTTGATTTATGTGCTGTCTATGCCAGAATAGTATAGCGGTATAGTGGATTCAATACCCTATTTGATTCTAAAGTTAGCATACAAAATAAATCACATCATCTTAAGGGCTGTTTCTTTCTTTGAGCCATAGATGAAGCAAGTAGATTATATGTAGAGACCTTGTCCTAAATGAACAAATAAGTGTATATCTAAGTTTATATAAATATGTAATGTTTAAACACTAAAATCCTGCAGCAGAGCATGATTTTCAACACGAGGCTTATAGGAATGGAGACTAATTGACGTAACAACATAATTACGTTTTTCAGCTCATGCTTGCTTCTGGGCATATATGCATTGACTACTGTGTAAATTGAATTTTTTCTGTTAAACTTCCTTGCCAGGCACACACAGTTGCTTTATTTGAGATGCAACTTTTATGTATTCTGATTTTACCACTAAGAAAACTAAGCCTAAAAGTAAACAATTGACCCAAATTTGCGTAACAAAGTGGCAGATCTAGGACTAGAACCAATGTCTTCTAATTTCTAATGCAGGGCTTTTTCCAGTATAGCACATTCTCTCATAATTTCACGTGTAGCTATAGCAGTAGATCTGAGAATGCCTAGTGGTTAAATACTGCTTTCAGTCTATCTTCTCTGCCTAGGCTCTAGAGCAGCCTAGAGTTCAGAAAGCAGCAGGGGGTTTTTCTGAAGACAAAAGAACATCTATAAGCAATTATTGAAGTAATTACACAACATGTTGATTAGCAATCGGGAAGACTCCAAAAAATTAAGGTTGATCTAGAGAAACACTCTTCTTTCCTAATTGGAACACAGTTGTCATTTGGAGATCAATTTATCAGTCATTCGGACTGGGAGGAAATTAGGATTATTTAGAAATAGTCTGACATTCCCTAGAGTTCATGCCATTTTTAAATTTAGCCAGAAAATCTGAGCAGTCAGAAAAGGAGAAAAGATAGAAACAACTGCAAAAGGATGATAAATAGAAGAATGGAGAATGTACTGTCAAAACTGTATTCCCCTGAAGCTGGCCTTGTAGCATATAACCATTTCCCTTGCTTTATGGCCTTAATTCTGGGGCTGTTCCCTTTTTCCCTGCATAATTGACTCACCCTTCAAGTGTCAGCCTCAGTTTCTCTTATCAAGCTGTCCACCCTATCTGAGCAGCCCTCTACCTGCCTTCCCTACTCTTAATTCCTTAATTACCACCTTCTGTTTGTTTTCTTCATTGTGTGTGTGTGTGTGTGTGTGTGTGTGTGTGTTGTCTGTCTTAATAAGTTGTGAGCTCTCTGAGGGCAAGGACTACATCTGTGTTGTTCCCTGTTACATCTACATTGCCTAATACATAGTACAAATTTGTTGATCAATAAACAATCTTCATGGTTCCCAATTCATATATGACTGACAAAACCTACTCTTAAGATGGAATGTTTTCAATAGTCTATTTCCCTGTGTTTTTATATTTGTTCAGCATATTTTGGGGAAGATGTATATGTAATTTATACGCTTATCTTCTTGCTGAGAAAAATATTGTCACCAAGCTTTTATTGAATATGCAAAGCACTGTGCTAAATGCTGGCTGAATACAAAGGTGAATAATGCATAATCCTTATCCCTAAAGAAAAGTAGAAACATTTGTAAACAAGTAGTTTTATACAAAGGCAAAATGAAATAAATACTAAATAG